CGTTCGCTTAGTTCTCCGTTATTGGGATTTACTCGTCTTAATCATACAGCATACTAATGAATATATTTTTATGGACAAAAAACATGCATCTAATAGGTTTTGAACCGTCAGGTAAATTAACGTCATCGCTGAATAACTGGAAAAAATGGGGCGCGAAATAACAAATGAGCTTCGGTAACCCTATAAGGTCACTCGCATCGTTATGCTGCTGGATGACTACATAAAGAATGACATTCTGTGGTCGGAATTACCGGCCGAGGTCCAACTTAAACTCAATAGTGATGAAGGAGAATATGATGCACGTATCTTGATATACTTTTTGCAAAATCAACTTGAATATGGCGGCAAGTTAATAGCAAAGGTAACTGCCTAACGAGCTATTAATACATATAGGTTATACGTAGCGAGAAAAGCTACTACCAACAATTGATACACTACAGTTCACAGTTTTTAATGCTGTTTCCGTATCATCTGCAGCGCAAGATTGTGGGTGGTCTTAAGGTTACTCCTTTTAGTTATTACCGCTCCATTGTGTACCGAACAATGATTGCTGAGTGTTCCTATGATAGGATTCCCAACTTCACGGCTGCTGCTTGTTATCAAGTACTCGGAATAGGAAGAAATGAATACATTGATCTATTAAATACTTATAAGGGCCTTATCTGTTCACCACAAGCCGATTTAAAGGAGCCCCCTTCTGTTATTCTGAACAATCTGCTGCCCAAAGTTCCACTTGATTGCAAAACTCTGGAACCCTGGTTTATCGTTCGTGTTGGCTCGGTTAGCTTAGCTGACGTCGAATCTTCTAGTCAAGAGGAAAAAGCCCTGTTGGATAAAATTATTGACAACGACGTGGCTCTCAGTGCTGAAGTAAAGGAAACGTACTCATGTCCTGGACTTAAAGTTTCTGACATATCAACGGGACTTCTTCAGCAGCTGTATCGCCGGGGCCTGGTGTATTTCGATGTCCCTATTTTCGATGATGACTGCATTTCTGTTCCTACGCTGGACGGTTTCATAATGAATCGAATTACTGGTGACAGCTGTGAGACTATGCTTTACAAAATCTTTGTTTCCCTTGATCCTCGGTCCTGCGTTCTTGACCTCGCGGTGGATCTTGGTGTTCAGACTGAGTTGGTTAGAAATGCTGCTTCAATCTTCTGTCGACTTGGATTTGCACAAAAGAGCAAATCCAAGGGCACTGTAAAAGTTTCTTTGGACAACCTGAGTTCTGAGGACCAACACAGAAATGTTCATGAACTGTCATGCCAGCTTGAGTCACCTGCACAGGGTCGTATCGATATGCACTCCAGGAAGATAGCTTTTATCTTCGATTCTACGATTACTGCTTACCTTATGTTAGGCAACCTCTCGGCTGATCTGAAGAAGCATTCTGTAACGATGTTTGAGGTCGGCAAATTGACTGGCCACTCACTAGAAGCTTTCTACAACAAGTTGAGCGCTGTATCACAACTTCGCGAACAAGATGTTGGCATATATTATGAACACGCTCGGTGTCTCAGTGAAACAATGTACTCCCTCGCGAAGAGCTACTCTGTGCCCGAGGATAATACCCTGCTTAATCTAGACTCTTTCGATCTCCTGCGTTGCGGTTCCCTTGAATCACTGGAACCCGTAACCAGGTCTCGTATTCTGACAAAAAACTACGATCTGCTTGTGTGTATGGCTCCATTATCCTATGAGGAAGCACAGGTTTTTGACGAAAGTTGGCCTCTTGTGCTTGGACCGCCCACGTCAGAGGCCAGTTCCCCATGGTTTCGCTTTTTCGTTTGTTGTGCAGCGAGCGGGGCTGGCACCCAGCTGACCACCCACTGTCGTCGTAATTTTGGCACAGAGTCTTGCACAATGCCAGGAATTCTACTCTGTCGTGGATCCAGACTCGATTGTCTTCCTGCTCCTCTCTCCTGTTTTTCACATTTCTTAGTCACTTCCTGGGATCATGACCCAGTTTTCATGGATGTTTACACTTTGTTCAACGCCGTAAATGACCTTGTCTTGAATTCCCCCGTATTTATTCAAGTAAGTCATAACTTCCAGGGTTTTCTTTCTTCTGACCTACGACTAAAAACTTCACTTTCAAAAATTAAGTTGCTTGTCTATTGGAGATATATGATTGCGCACAAATAGCTCACAATCCCGGTTTAGGATCTACATTTAGAATGCAAGAGTCTTCTTTTTCCTCTGTCAACCTCACCAGTAAGTTAAAATGATTCAAAGACATAACCCAGAGACTTACAAACCTCCAGTCAGCTTTCCCTATCCGCAACAAGTTAAAAATGATCAAACTTTTTCCCTGGCTCTAGTTTTTCTGCAGGAATGTTCGATTCTTCTCTTTCTGTAAATTGATGAGTACTCAAGAAATCTTCGTCCTTCAGTCTCCGGACTGCCACCCACACAGACGAAATAATCTGCTTTGTCTCCCTAGACTCCAGAGTGTCTAAGGTCACTGTGAAGTCTCTTTCAGTCATTCCTCGGATTTTTTTGTCAGAATTGCTGTTGGTGAATGTCACTAAATTTATAACCTGCCAATTAGAAACATCAGATTTCCTGCTCGACAAGAATTTTTGTAGTCGCCTAAAAAGGTATCTTAGTACTTAAAGCTATTCTGTACGGGATTTTTAGGCGGAATCTTCTTTCACTCTTTTACGTTATACAGCTGCGATCATGCCTGATCTTGTCGGCCTAGTCACGGACGGTACCGTTCCACGTGTGACAATTAGTGACAGCGGATCTGGAAAACTTAACCCATTTTTTCTCCAGCGACGGAGATCGAAAGCTGCATGTCCAAAAACGGCTTCCATGTCTTGACGAGCGGTGTCAAAACAAGTCTTAAGTTGTCCTCCTTTTCGACGTCTCCAGGTAGGTTGCGGCGCCAGATCAAGGGCAGCACAACAATGATCCTAAGGCGGACGACGGAGCACGTGTCATAACGACCTCAGTCGTCTTACTTGGATAGCCCGAGATATCCTTGCGAT